CACAATAAATTACAATATTTAATACATTTAGTGGCAATGTCTAAAGCCCTAATCCAGTCCCACCACAAGTACCAATCACCCTGAGTTAATGCCACAGGCACCCATGCTACCAGATGAGTTTTGTTAGTACGAACACCACTCAAAGAGTCCCTGACTGGTGAAAGGAAGCCAGTTATAGGATAAGAAAGTTAATTTAGTTAATGTGCATGCTTTACAGATCAATATTTGCACTACGGACAACCGTATCAATAAACATATGAAACTAGGTGCACAAAGAGAATTAAGAACAGAAACCAAACTGTGGCAAAGTGTTAGCCAAGAAGGTAATTCTATCCTGCAGAGAATGTGGATTTTGAACTAGATTGCGGATAGAGTATTACAGTTACATGTTCTGCTTTGTACAGACTCCAGATTTCTTTCACAACTGTATATCTGAGATGCAGACATTCCTTCCCCAATGGACCTCCTGCTAGTTTTACTATCCGGAGCAGCTGGCTGTGATAATGAAGGTTAGCCTGATAATGTTGAGAATGTCTACAAGTTTTGTAGGTTTATAAAAACGACTTTTGGATTCAACTGAAAAAATATAACACCAAACAGTATGAAAGTGAGGAGCGAATTTATATTAAATAATGAATTTCCATCACAATTATTTACATAAAATAAACCGAGAACTCAAACAACCTATAAAAACATGATAATGATAAATCTATATTTAAATGTTTGGTTTGTATGTGGACATTCTCTGTTCAGACTCAAGCAATTGTTAACAGCAGAATGTGTAATGCCCTTTATCATTCTAAAAACAGAAAACTTCTGTAATTCCACATAATCGAATCATGCAACATGAGGCAAATAAGCAAGGAGTGCAGAAAGAGAGAGAGCAGAAAGAGTGCAGGAAGTGGTCAGAGGAGAATGGTTGTCTTGTCCCCACCTTCCCAATCTGTGATGGGTATGGACGGCACTGCAGAATAAGCATCTCCAAAATCATAATCTATAGAGACCAGGGACAAAACAGCTCGTTAGAATGAAGCTAGGGGTGGCTGAGCACCCGTCTAGGGGACCTAATACATCACGCCACTGGGTGGCTGCAACTTCTAGGCCAAAGCAATGTCACAGGAGAAACATAAAAAAAAATTGGTTCAGAAACAAAATTAAGGACGAAGGGAGAATGACAGCAAGTTACCAGATACATTACATATCTCTAAAAATGTCTGTACCAGGATATATGACGATGGCAGATCAGATATTTCACAGACCCCCCTTACCCACATCGATCCAGTTTATTGTTAGGAATCGCTTCCCAGTCAATACTGGCAGAGGAGCATGGGGTACAATATCAGTATTTAATGCTTGCTTGTGACCCTAGTACAATTACCAAAAAGGAAATACAGGTACATACAGCGTTCTTCCATACCCTCACTGGACGGAGCAATGGCGCTGTCATCCCACTCCAAGTTGGCAGAATTGATAGAGTTGAATGAGTTGAGTGACAGGCTGTCTGAACCAAGCATGGAGCTGGGCAGCCGATCCTCAAAATCCAGGAGATAATGCGGTTTGTAGTAATCGGGCATGTAAGGGGCGAGATCCAGGTATGGCACGTCCTGAAAAAAAGATTCAAAGGGCAAGACGTCTAAATGTGCTGCTTGAATCGCCCCATATACGCCATCAGACATCAGACATCTGCACTGTACCCCACACCCCATGTACATTATCCCAATATGGATGGGGTTAAAATTCTACATGTTAGCAATAGTTAACCCTTCCCAATCCTATTCAGCAAACGCACCAGCTCCAGGTCAAATCTTATAAATTCCAGTCCTGAGACCAGTGTGAGGAAGAGGGTGAGATGGTCATGGCTGCAGACCAGGGCATTCCTGGGAGAAAGAGAGAATGTTCTATCAAAGCAGGAAGAGAATGATCAGGTTCAGGACAGAAATATCACTTCATCACAACTTACTTGTAGTAATATTTCTCCAGGAGACTTTGATTCTCATGGAATAACCGCAGGTAACTCTCTAAAGAATTCTCGTTCAACGCCAAGTATAACCAGGCCCGGCCTGTCCAGTACAGAGACAGAGGAGAATGGAAAGGAATACATAAGATGGGGAAAGAGTTATCCATAGAGAAGCAATACAGCTTTCTAGTGTTACATTCATACTCGTTACACAGGCAGTCAGCACTCACTGACACAGTACTCGTTACACAGGCAGTCAGCACTCACTGACACAGTACTCGTTACACAGGCAGTCAGCACTCACTGACACAGTACTCGTTACTCAGGCAGTCAGCACTCACTGACACAGTACTCGTTACACAGGCAGTCAGCACTCACTGACACAGTACTCGTTACTCAGGCAGTCAGCACTCACTGACACAGTACTCGTTACACAGGCAGTCAGCACTCACTGACACAGTACTCGTTACACAGGCAGTCAGCACTCACTGACACAGTACTCGTTAAAAACTTCTGAAGAAGCCCAAACCCGGGCGAAATGCATTAAGTTGATGAGAGAGGCTGGAAGCTGACTTTTATACATAGATTTTATTCTATTTTTTTTTTTTTTATTAAAGGACCACTCTAGGCACACAGACCACTTCAGCTTAATGAAGTGGTCTGGGTGCCAGGTCCAGCTAGGGTTAACCCATTTTTTTTTTAATAAATATAGCAGTTTCAGAGAAACTGCTATGTTTATAAATGGGTTAATCCAGCTCTCAAATCCTCTAGTGGCTGTCTCATTGACAGCTGCTAGAGGCGCTTGCGTGATTCTCACTGTGAAAATCACAGTGAGAACACGCAAGCGTCCATAGGAAAGCATTGTAAATGCTTTCCTATGAGACCGGCTGAATACGCACGCAGCTCTTGCCGCGCGTGCGCATTCAGCCGAAAGGAAGGAGGGGAGGAGGATCAGAGGCGGAGAGCTCCCCGTCCGGCGCTGGAGAAAGGTAAGTTTTAACCCCTTTCCTCTCCCCAGAGCCCGGCGGGAGGGGGTCCCTGAGGGTGGGGGCACCCCCGGGCACTATAGTGCCAGGAAAACGAGTATGTTTTCCTGGCACTATAGTGGTCCTTTAAATAAAGTTAAACTTTTTCCTACTCCCTCTGGTTTCCTACCTGTTCCTGGTGCACTTTGCATCCTGCTATATCCCTTGGTGGGGATCATACATCCACAAGCTATCAACACCAGAGCAAGTCATTGCTCTGGAATCTGTAAGTAGGATACTTACCTTTCTTTTATTACAAGCATTTAGTACATACTGTACCATTGGATTTTATTTGTGTTTTTGTTTTTATACATATACACAGCTGTGGCAAATTGGATATTACATCCTACTATTATCCTTATACAGGGATTGTACCATCCAGGCGCTATACGGCAAAGCTCTTAGCAGCTCTACAAAGTGTGAGTTAGTCTTTTCAATAGTTCTCCTTTTATTGATTATATATTCCATTTACCTGATATATTGCACTATTAGGCAATCAGCACTCACTGACAGTACTCGTTATATAGGCAGTCCGCACTCACTCACTGACACAGTACTCGTTACACAGGCAGTCAGCACTCGCTTACACGGTACTCGTTACACAGGCAGTCAGCACTCGTTACACAGGCAATCAGCACTCACTGACACGGTACTCGTCATATAGGCAATCTGCACTCACTGACACGGTACTCGTCATATAGGCAATCTGCACTCACTGACACGGTACTCGTCATATAGGCAGTCCGCACTCACTGACACGGTACTCGTCATATAGGCAGTCCGCACTCACTGACACGGTACTCGTCATATAGGCACGCACTCACTGACACGGTACTCGTCATATAGGCAGTCCGCACTCACTGACAGTACTGAATACACAGGCAGTTGACACTCACTCACTGACATGGTACTCACTGCGGCCAAGGTGAGTAGCTACATGTTGCTGTTGCTCGATTTGTTTGACAGCTTCCCTACGAGTGAAATGAACGACGAGTACCCAGTACCCGGAGGAGATGTCCTGCAATCTGTAATTAGGATATGGTCAGATAGAATTATAATTCAAACCAAGGATGGTGACCACGTCAGTGCAGGCACAGACAAAAAAAAAACTACGTATCCTACACAAATAAAAACCAGTGTCAGTACAGACACAAAAACTCTCAAATCAATACAAGAAGGAAAAACTGTGAGCACAGGGACAATAACTGCAAATCCCGTGCAAGTAGTAAGCACTACTACAGGCAGCGACAGAGGTCTGAACAAAGAAGGTAAAATCCTAATACGAGACACTGTTTGCTCAGTGTACAGACATACTGCAAAATGCACAGAACTAATGGGATAATATCGGTTTTAGCTTTCTGTACATCCACCAACACACAGCAGGGGATGTGAACCTAATAATCACTGCTACAGACTAAACAAGGGAGGGGTTATAAGATTGGGAAAGGGCTGTTTATATCACATGATCTTATTTGGATCAATCAATACACAGACCATATTGCAGCCCCGGTGTCGAAATATTACAAAATCCCCCACACTAGATGTAATTGCAGAGCCATGAGATCAACAGTAAGCTGTAACAGTCTATGCGAAGGTCTCTAGCATCTAACGCCATTTACAAATGTCTCCCACATACAAGGACACTGCTTAACTCACCCGTACAACAATGCATGGTCGAGATGCTCGCACAGTCTCTGCAGCACCCTGTCATGGTTTCGGATTGCTGGGGTCTCATCTTCACAGGCAGCAAAGTAACTCTGTAGCTATAGAGAATGCGTAGATTAGATAAGTCACAGCATGGAATCATCTGGACAGTTACACACAAAGACATCCAACCCGGATGGCAGTTTTATAGTCATATCATTAGCAAAACAGTTTGACTGCTAACACTGGGGTGTGCCAGGGCTCTACTGGTACCATAACCACTACAGCACGCTGTAGTGGTTAAGGTGGTTAAAGTGTTCCTTTAATGCACAGTCATCCAGCCCAGGTAGCAGCAGCCATCATTTCCCTCTACCTTTAGTCACATGTAGGAAAAGAGAATCACAGCTCTTAGAAAAAGAATGAAGCATAATGTTCATGAGAGCACCTGATGTGGCTTTAATGACAAAACATAATCACCCATTGCATAAGCCTGCCACAGCGCCAATGTACCCTTTATATAAGTTTTCAAAACCACTCTATAGAAAATGAAAGTACGTCTGAGCTCAAACACTTCCCAAAAAGGAGCCTCTGCTCAATAAGGAGCGGATAGCAGCTGAGCAGTCACATGAGAGTACGACACAGTATGATAACACTAAGGCCTCCACTCCATTAGCAGACAGAAATCAGCCATTAAGTACACCCTGCCCTGGGCATGGTTTCAACAATTCTTTATGTGTTACATGTATAATAAATGGAGTTACTTTTCAATGTCTCTCATTTTCAGAATTTCCCAGGGATTTGAGACTGTCTCAGATCCTCACATAATCCAGGGCTGGCTGTGATCTCATAGCTTTCTATCGCAGAATTAACAAGCATGCGTTCATGTACAGCTCAATACGCATATTAACTTTAGATTTCATTGGGTGTACTACTATAAAATGTTTACGTATAGGCCCTATTCATGCAGTAGCAGGAGGAATGTCACAAAGGATCAGCCGTTAACTGCTAGTTTAAAAAGAATGGCTAGTTATCTGTGTCGGCAGAGCACTGTAACGACTCCAAAAATATTAGCAGTTTATTGAGCAGGTGCACACATTCTATGGAACGTGTTATTGTGGCTAAACTACATTTGCCATAAGCCATTAAAACCAAAAAACATTATAAAAATTAGATCACTATTGGCATAATGTGTCGATTTATTAACATTTACATTTTTCTCGTACCCATTCTGTACAGATGCACACACCCTATTTTTTAAAACAGATATCTGACAGACTACCACTTATTTGACTTTCTTTTGGATACAATAATTCACAGAAGAATATTCAACGGCAGAAAGCACATTTGTGCAGGAGCCATAGTAGATGGAATTCAGCTTGGGCAAGTGAACAGATGTTGGCAGCTTACTTATTGTACAATATATCTATGCCATTCTGTGCCATTAATTGGGACATTAACAGGCTAAATAAAGAGTGTCACAGCTTCTCACTCACTGCAGACAGATTTTAACTCAAATCAAAAACAAGGAAGTGCGTTCCCAGCAAGGCTTTATGTGTGTTTATCAAATCCTTCTTTAGGCCAAAATATTACTAGTAAATTTATAGCAAGCATCTTCAACCCCTCCCTGCTAGTTAGATTGCAAGCTTCCCTGAAGCAGAGTCAGTCTGAGCTGCAGACACACCAAAAATATAAAACAGGCTCTGCTGGTAACAGTCACAGCTGGAAGTAAAATAACAAGACTTGTTCTGATGTTGTCAAGATATTTATGCAGATAAACACATTACAGGATATACAACTAATTACATAGTTACATAGCTGAAAAGTGACACGAGTCCATCAAGTTCAGCCTTCCTCACAAATGTTTTTAATATGCTATAAAATAACCAATACAGGTTCTTTTGTAATGGTGCCAGGAGGAATCAGGCCACCTCTTACCTGAAGGGGTTTAATCTTCTGCTCAATATCCTAGAATTTAAACTGGAAGCTTCTGACCGGGAGCTGCTAGGCTTAGAGTAAAATATAGAGATAGTAGCCCACCCTTGAGAAGAGAGTGAAAAAATATTTACCCTTTTCACTCACTTTACCCAATGAGGTAAGTCTTCAAGTTACATAGTTACAAAGTTACATAGCTGAAAAGAGACTTGTGTCCATCAAGTTCAGCCTTCTTCACATATGTTTTTGCAGTTGATCCAAAAGAAGGCAAAAAACCTAGTATGAAGCGTTTCCAATTTTGCAACAAACTAGGAAAAAATTCCTTCTTGACCCCAAATAGCAGTCAGATATCTCCTTGGACCAAGCAGCTATTACCCAACTAATTAGAAATTATATCCCTGTGTGTTATGTTTTTGCAAGTATTTATCCAATTGCAGTTTAAACATCTGTATGGACTCTGACAAAACCACCTCTTCAGGCAGAGAATTCCATATCCTTATTGCTCTTACTGTAAAAAAACCTTTTCTTTGCCTTAGATGAAATCTCCTTTCTTCCAGCCTAAATGTGTGACCTTGTGTCCTATGTATAGCCCTGTTTATGAATAGATTTCCAGACAATGGTTTGTACTGGCCCCGAATATATTTGTATAAAGTTATCATATCCCCTCTCAGGCGCCGTTTTTCCAAACTAAAGAGATTTACATGTTTTAACCTTTCTTCGTAACTAAAATGCTCCATTCCTTTAATCAATTTTGTAGCTCGTCTCTGCACTTTTTCTAGTGCCATGATATCTTTCTTTAGAATAGGTGCCCAAAATTGCACAGCATATTCAAGGTGTGGTCTTACCAGCGATTTATAAAGAGGCAAAATTATATTTTCATCTCGAGAATTTATGCCCCTATTTATACATGACAAAACCTTACTGGCCTTAGCAACGGCAGATTGACATTGCATATTGCTGCCTAATTTGTTTAGGAGTAAAAAAATGTCATGACCTCCTTGCACCATAACAACTTTGTTGTGATGAAGTTATGTGCCAGGAGTGTCCCTTTATCTTCACTTTTATGCTAAACCTTTTAAAAGTGTACACACATGGAGAGAGGAACTTGTTTGTGATCTCTCCTATTAATCTCTATGCATGTTTAGGAAATATGCGGACTGTTCCAGGAAGGTTTTAAAATTCTCCTTCCTTAGTGCCAGCGGCAAACCTTTAAACTGGCTGTGCCCACTCTATTGTTTAACCCTGTGCGGATTTCCTAGTAGTCACTGTCACAGTGATTGCCTGGTGAGTGGGAGGCAAGTAACAAATAGCTGCCTACTTATTTGGAGTTAACCCCACTCCTTAAAGCTGCAGATAGCGGTCACGATTACAAAATAATGCTGCTTTAAAAAGAGCACCTAGGGTTACTGCCGGTCGGAAATTATTGAATAACCTGGACTAGGCTAATTTCACTTCTATACAATGTACACGTGTGGAACTTAAGGCAAATTAAATTCACAGAGTTTCAGGGGATTGTGAACCAGCCACTGCAGAATGTGTTGGCTCTCTACAAATAAATAATATTACCTACAATGTGAAGGTTAAGTGAGGAATCATTTATTGCACAAAGACTGGCTTCCAAGGTACAGGATAGTTCTTATGTGAACTTTGGGTATGTATGTGTAATCGGACTCATGAACAATCACATATGCAGATTATAAATATTTACAATGTGTAGTTTTTGACAGAGTAATAAGTAAGAAAATAAAGCAACGTTTATGAATAACTGAAGATAGGCAGAGAATAACTACTGGAAAAACCATTCTGCTGTAACAAAAGCATGTATTAAAGGGGTTCATTAAACTTTCCCTACAGCAGCCTATGAATGGGCAATTTTAGAAAATAGAGAATTTATGTCCAAAAACACTGAGCAGGTTCAATAGCGTTACTGAAGAATTACACCAGTTTAGTTATTTCCTTTTTCAATTTACACTATTCCCATCTTCGTAAATACATTCGTGAAAATGCTTCTTTCCAAATAAGAGGAAGACATTTAGCTCAATTAGTATCTGAACGTATCTAGAACATAGGACAAAATAAATTAGGATGCAAGATTGTTCTTGCAATGTATAAAATGGACATAAAAGTCAGAATCTTTACAATAAGTTTACTGATTTCAAATTCTGTTAAAAATAAGACATAAACCCATGCAGATCTCATTTAGCAGTTGGTACATGGTACTGACCTGCGTAGCAGAAAGAGATACTACGAATTGGATGCGCCACACAGTATGAGCTTTTAATGTATTCTTCTGGGAGTCCTTTCAAAGGGTCCAAAGTAGCTACGTCTTTTACTGAGAAAGACACTAAATGTACCCATGAAGCAGCTGGATTTAACCAATTCATTACAAAGCATTTCTCAAAGCTCCCTACTACTTCTATTGGATACTTGAAGTGGTTGAACAGACAGGCACATCACAATAACTATATTACTGAAGATGCTTTATTTATCAGTTAACAGAAAGGCCTACTGATGATTTAATATAGGATACTGACAAACTGCTCCAGATCTGGTAAGTCCGGATTCGTCTGCTAGGATCAACACACTTTAACACAAACCTTCAAATTGACAAGCTAACAACCAGCAATGGAGGGAGCTCACCAGACCAGCATTGTACTCACAGACTAGTATCTTCCTCTTAGCATTTCCCCCTTTATGGTTTTCCTAATGTTAAAGGCTGTTCCTCATTTTTGACGAGGACCTTTGTGTGCAGCTGAATAAAGAAATGTCAAAGCTTTGAGAATCCACAGCAGAGGAATCGCAGGCTGCCTAATGAGACCTGAATGGGTTTTGGGCGTATTATCCATATATTGAGTGTTTATAATACATGCATGCAACACGTGTATAGGACAGGGAGTATTTGGATGCAGAATTGAACACACATATAATTGGTAACGGACAAAGTAACTGCCATAAATACTTTCAGGGTCACTAAAGGGAGAAATCAAAGTAAATTTCTAATTCAAGGCACAAGTAGCCAAATTGAAAGCATGGCTGACAAATCTTTCCAGGGCGGCTATTGTGACATTAATTTGAAAATCACTTTGAATTCTCACTTTAGGAAATTACCCTGAAATCACCACATTTGCCCTTTTGGGGGCTTTGTGTGTTATGTCATTGTAAAAGCTCAATTTTTCTCAGAACCCCAATATCAGGATGTACATGAATTCTTCTAATATGGGCCACGTGTTTGTGGATTGTACATATATTGCTGTGGATCCAGTGGAGAATGTAACCATAAAAGGCAGCAAATTACAGGCTAGTCACAAGAGACTCAGACCCTCAGTAGTGACCTTTCTATTTCCAGGCAGTATCAGGAGGCAATGTCCACCGCAATCCAAAGAGTGTGGGAAGGGTGTGTAAGTACACAGTGCATCACAGGCAGATACCATGCACCTTTTATTTACCAAACCTTCTGCTGACCTGGATTTCTTTATCACATCGCACAATTAGGAATTCATTTAAAATCAGGGGGAATCAACGAGGGAAACATTAAACAACACCACAACCTTTCAAGGGGAGACACAATGGATAGGCCCAAAAGCATTCTCACAGCCCTACACACTGCTATTGGGTTTTTAAATTGTATTGCTGCAGTTATTCCAGTTCTGCAAACTCCAACCCAGCACCCCAGGCTGTTTTCATGGAATCCTAGTTACTGCTGGGGAGGGACATTCTGTAACAGGTCAGACAGCCTACATTGTGTGCCATGCAGAGTAACTGGGCCAGTATTCCCACCAATGAATGATAGCATTGGTCTCTATATATTCATACTCTGCTCTAGACGTGACAGCGCCATTTAACCAAACACAGTTAACAAAAACGAGTCTAAGCAGAAACAATAATATATTATTATTCAGTATGTTAAAAGCTCTAGCATTACCAAAATAGGATCTGTGATCCAGATGCTCTCCTTCCATAAAAACCCTCTGAAACACAGTATGTCAATACAATTGCCGGACAACAGCAAAAGAAAGTTAGTCCGTAGGCTATTAAACAGTGGTGCCCATAAAGTCACACCTAATTGGCAACTCCAGTGGCCTAACGTGCCTGTAACCAAGCCCCCAAAATGTTCAAACGAAAAGGCAGCACAACAATACAATCTCAGTTATTCACTAAAGTGAGAATTCTCGGGATTCGAGGTGAATTCCAGAGTTAAGGCTAAAATAGCTCAAGTGTAAACAAAGCCAAACTGGATAATTTTTTCCTAGTCTGCCATCTTGTTCTATAATTTAGCATTCACTAATTTAGGTATTACTGTAGGAATTGAATTTAAATAAAACTTCAGTGTTAATTTGAACTACTCCTTGGTAGAGATGCCGCGAACCGTCCGCGAACTTCTCGCGAACCGTTCACGGCGAACTCCGGTCAGCTGACACATCCCGGCCAATCTCCAGCAGACCCTCCCTCCCAGACCCTCCTACTTCCTGGACAGCATCCATGTTGAAGGCAGCTTCAACATGGATGCTGTCCAGGCGGTGGGAGGGTCTGGGAGTGAGGGTCTGCCGGAGATTGGCAGGGATGTGTCAGCTGACTGGAGTTTGTGGCGAACCGTTCGCGAGAAGTTCGCGACATCTCTACTCCTTGGTATTCTATATAATTCAAATTCCCTATATAGTGACAAGCGAATAATCAACTTAAATCCTTGCCGTCAATGGGGAACAAGCTGACTTGTGGATTCAATATTCACAGAGCCTATCAAACAGTACAATGCACAACTTATATGATGCCTCGCAAAGATGGGAGTTACTTTACAGATAGCTCGGTGTACCTTTTCCTAAATATGGCTCTGCCAGTAACACTTTTATTACCTGGAGCAGAGTAAGGTAAAGTGTGTGACAACAGAATCAACACTAATTATATTGCAATTGAATTTACGTCAGGGCAGGACATTGTCATACCGGAGTCGGACAAATAGAAATGTTTTAGAGCTAAGGGACACTTTCTCTCCAGTAGATTAAACCAGAATGGAGTGCTGTGAATAGTCATACTAAGAAGCACTGACAATTCCTTTGCTCTGATTTTGCTGAACTGTGTGATTGTAGCGACAGAATTGTGCCCCAACTCACAGGGACTTGGTGAATGATCCCAACAGTAACAAACCTGCACCTGGACTGGGCAACGACTAAATAACTATTGTGGCTGTACACAGGGAAAGACCCACAACGAGCAAAACTATGAGAGAGTCTGTATAAGTTCTTACAGTCCTAAGCCAAATTAGACGAAAGTCATCTGAACCGTGATCACACATCTATAGGGATTTATCACAGAGTACACACAATAAAAACAAAGCAAGTACACACACATCACATAAATACAGCAAAGTCCCACACACAGTACAAACATCATATCAACAAAATGTACATAAATACAAGATACATAGTACTCAAAACTAGCACATACATAAAAACAACAATAACACAAGTACATACACAGTTCACAGATATGCTCACACAGTATCTAAACCCATAGTGGTCAACACAGGTTATATTCTATATTTAGATTATATGCCCACTGTGCCCATAGTATACCCATACTATATATAAACACACACAAATGCATACAAAGTCTAACCATAAAGTAATACACACAATATAACTCTATAGCATATATACACCTGTACACAGTACATCCAATACACACAGTATAACTCTATAGCATATATACACATGTACACAGTACATCCAATACACACAGTATAACTCTATAGCATATATACACATGTACACAGTACATCCAATACGCAAAGTATACAGAACGTACATAAAACACCCAGTACACAATACAGACACATAGTATATACCACACACACAGTATATAACACACACAGACACTCACTATATAACACACAGACACACACAATAACACAGACAGTATATAACACACAGACACACAATATATAACAAACACACACACACACACACAGTATATAACACACAGACTCACTATAGAACACCCACACTATATAACACACAGTATATAACACAGACACACACACACGAGTATATAACACACAGTATATAACACACACACACACACACACACACAGTATATAACACACACACAGTGAAAAATACAAAACTGTGCAGATACACCAGATCGTGGATAGAACACACACTTAGTGGGCAGCAGATAGGAAAAATACAGTTACCCTTGTACTATAAGTACCGTAGATAAGGACTCCTCACGGTCCTTGAAATGGTACAGAAAACAAAAAAAAAATCTACAATACAATAATAACAGAGAGAAACATAGTGCAATAATGTTGCAAAGGTTTTTAAGATGGAACAAACAATTTTGGTTTGTGAGTGCAACTACTACATTTACTTTCCATCTTAAAAACCTTTGCAACATGATTGCACTATGTTTCTCTCTGTTAGTATTGTACTGTCGATTTTTTAGTTTTCTGAAACACAGACACAGTGCATAACACACACACAGTGTATAATATACACTGTGTGTGTGTATAATACACACACAGTGTGTATAATACACACACAGTGTGTATAATACAGACACACACACAGTGTGTATAATACAGACACACACACAGTGTGTATAATACAGACACACACACAGTGTGTATAATACAGACACACACACAGTGTGTATAATACAGACACACACACAGTGTGTATAATACAGACACACACACAGTGTGTATAATACAGACACACACACAGTGTGTATAATACAGACACACACACAGTGTGTATAATACAGACACACACACAGTGTGTATAATACAGACACACACACAGTGTGTATAATACAGACACACACAGTGTGTATAATACAGACACACACAGTGTGTATAATACAGACACACACAGTGTGTATAATACAGACACACAGTGTGTATAATACAGACACACACAGTGTGTATAATACAGACACACACAGTGTGTATAATACAGACACACACAGTGTGTATAATACAGACACAAACAGTGTATAATACACACACACACAGTGTATAATACACACACACACAGTGTATAATACACACACACACAGTGTGTATAATACACACACACAGTGTGTATAATACACACACAGTGTGTATAATACACACACAGTGTGTATAATACACACACACAGTGTGTATAATACAGACACACACAGTGTATAATACAGACACACACAGTGTATAATACACACACACAGTGTATAATACAGACACACACAGTGTATAATACAGACACACACAGTGTATAATACAGACACACACAGTGTATAATACACACACACAGTGTATAATGCAGACACACACAGTGTATAATGCAGACACACACAGTGTATAATGCAGACACACACAGTGTATAACAGACACACACAGTATAATACAGACACACACAGTATAATACAGACACACACACAGTGTATAATACAGACACACACACAGTGTATAATACACACACACACAGTGTATAATACAGACACACACACAGTGTATAATACAGACACACACACACAGTGTATAACAGACACACACAGTGTATAATGCAGACACACAGTGTATAACAGACACACACACAGTGTATAACAGACACACACACACACACACACACACTGTATAACAGACACACACACACAGTGTATAACAGACACACACACACAGTGTATAATGCAGACACACACAGTGTATAACAGACACACACACACAGTGTATAATACACACACACACAGTGTATAATACAGACACACAGTGTATAATACAGACACACACAGTATAATACAGACACACACAGTGTATAATACAGACACACACACAGTGTATAATACAGACACACACAGTGTATAATACAGACACACACAGAGTGTATAATACAGACACACACAGAGTGTATAATACAGACACACAGTGTATAATACAGACACACACAGTGTATAATACAGACACACACACAGTGTATAATACAGACACACAGTGTATAATACAGACACACAGTGTATAATACAGACACACAGTGTATAATACAGACACACACACAGTGTATAATACACACACACACAGTGTATAATACACACACACAGTGTATAATACACACACACAGTGTATAATACAGACACACACACAGTGTATAATACACACACACACAGTGTATAATACAGACACACACACAGTGTATAATACAGACACACACACAGTGTATAATACAGACACACACAGTGTATAATACAGACACACACAGTGTATAATACAGACACACACACACAGTGTATAATACAGACACAGTGTATAATACAGACACACAGTGTATAATACAGAAACACAGTGTATAATACAGACACACAGTGTATAATACAGACACACAGTGTATAATACAGACACACACACAGTGTATAATACAGACACACACACA